CAAGTGGCAGAGGCCCCCGCCCCCCGGGATAAACCCCGCCCAGGACGCGCTCTGCTTCCAGCAGGTGGAGCTGGACTATTACGTGGGTGAGCCACCCCCCCCACCCCCGTGAGCTGGGGGTGGCACTAGTGGGTTAGAGCAGGGGGGCTGGGAGCCAGGACTCCTGGGTTCTCTCCACAGCTCAGGAAAGGGACTGGGTCTGATGGGTAGAAGCGGGGAATGGGGGGGGAGGGAGCCAGGACGCCTGGGTTCTCTCCCCGGCTCTGGGAGTGGAAGCAGGTCCAGTGGGTTAGAGTGGCTGGGGAAGGGGGCCCGGCAGCCAGGACTCCTGGGTTCCTTTGCTGGCTCTGCCCTGGCTGTCTCTTCCCCCCTGGAGTGGGGATCACGACCCCGTTTCCTGCCTCCGCAGGGCCAGGAGAGGGGCCCCCTGGCTCCAGTCTGGGGGCTGGTTAATCGGTGTCGTGGGTCGATTTGCCCCCCACTGGGAACCCCGGGGATTCTGGGGTCAGGCTGCTTTCAAGAGGCACAATGGGCCTGTCTGTCCCTGCTGCCACCCCGGCGAGGGGGGGAATGGCCTGGAATTCCCCGGGACCTCCCAGCTCCCCTCCCCCAGCTGGGGAGCCGGGGGGGCTCTTCAGGGCTGCTGGGCTGTTCCCTGACTGTGGGCCTGGTGCCACCCAGGTGCCTGTGCTGGGGGTGGGAGGTTGGGGGGCTCCGTCTCTGACCCTGTCCCTCCCCCAGGCGTCCCCGTGCCAGGCATGCCCGGCGCTACCCAGGGCCCGGTGCCCGTTCTCCGGATGTTTGGCGTCACCGCAGCCGGGAACAGCGTCTGTTGCCATATCCACGGCTTCGCCCCCTACTTCTACGTGCCCGCCCCGGCTGGTGAGTGCCTCCTGGTGTGGGGGGGGAATGGGCAGCTGGCAGAGCCCCCTCTGACCCCCTGCCCCATCCCTGCCCCCAGGCTTCCAGCCCCAGCACCTGAGCGACTTCCAGCGGGAGCTGAACGGGGCCGTGCTGCGGGACCTGCGCTCCAACCGGGAGGGGCTGAGCCGGGCCGTGCTGGCCGTGGAGATGTGCAGCAAGGAGAGTGAGTGTGGG